CGATGCATTGAAGTACAACTAACTAACTAAGAACTTAAAGCGAGGGCAGCGATCTGAGATTGAGACGTAATATTTGTTATAAAAATATACGCTACTGGCAGACACCACGGAACTACCAGTTTTACGATATCTTTCTCTTTAACAATCATATTAAGATGTCACAGTTGAAAATTCTACAGTCGTACCAAGATAAAACGAAAATATACCTTGTGAGATTCCAGGTTCTTACAGCGACGAGCATGAAGCCAGCTGTCTTCTGGAATAGTCTCATACATATTGACCGACGTTTCAGATGACCTTGCTGCCTCCATGATGAAAGTGAATAGGGCACTTCTTAAACATTGGTCATTATCCACCAGGCTGCACAGCGCAATGGTTTAGAAGAGAGAAATCTTCACTCGCATCGCGGTCTTCACTTCGTGCTAGAGGAAACAGTGTTTGCTAGGGCAGGCTCAACCCGAGCCTCCTAGTATCGGTATGATCTTTTGCTGTGCCAGTTCATTTATCCCAGTCTTCTGTCTTCCGTCTCTTCCTCAGACCCCAAAATGCCGTAGTTAAAACAACCCCCGTCTTATAGTGAATGTCGATATTTCAGCTCAATCCCTAGGGTCCAATCTGTTGAAACTGAGCTGCTAGGGATGGGAAAGGAGAAAGGTAGAAGGGAAAATGTAAGAGACACCAATAACATAGAACACAATTTCAAGAAGAAAGTTCATTAAAGAACATGAAGACTTTTGTTCGGGGAAGCTGGGATTTTCTCTAAAAGATTTTCATGTGGTGAAGAATGATTGCTGGAGTGAGATTTGCAGCTCTTCCAAGCTGTAACAAACCAGAGTTTTTCAGAAACGCTAACAGATGGGGTTTTAGGTCAGGGGACCAGAAATAAAACATCACGATTACCACTTCGCCATTATTAGAATACAGTGACTAATTATTAATAATAATTAATTGTAGTACTGCTTACAGTCTTCGGTGCCTCAAAAATGTCATACGTACAAATAAACAGAGTCAGAGGATTGTAATTTTTCATAGACCCGTGGTCTCCACTTTGGTCAGGCTGTTCCCAAGAAAGCCATGTCCTTTTTGTAAGCTTATTAGTACGAGTGGACGTGAAGCGTGCAATTTGCAGCCAAAGAGACTCACTGGAACGAGAATAATCGAGAAATGGGACAGAAATATGGCTGAGCAGTTGAGTGTACTCTCTGCTGGATTATATGGTATTGTCATTGGAATCCAGTCCTGTCCATTTGTTCGCTGTTATTATGTTCACCGGGGACACAATATATTTATAATTCGAGGCAAATATACTGTTTAGATTTTTATTTTTTGTGAAGAACGGTATACGTGCCACAAATTTTATTTATGTCTGGGGATATAGCGCGTTTACCATAGACTTACACAACTGAAACGCAGGAGATATACATCGAACACTTTCTTTCTTGTGATATAAGAGTTAAAAGACTGAAATTTGGCATTTATTCCGAATTCTGTAGTACTTAAAAGAATTATATGAGTAGCAACTTCCTAATATTTTTCCGGTGTCAGACACCACAAAAATTTCTAATTTTTTTTTTTTTTAAATTTTATAATTTTTATGCTCATTTCGTTCTCCACAGTCATCATTTATCTTTTGTACAGACGAATAAACTGACTGTGAATTGAATTTTGTTTCGTAGTTCAAATCACAATTAAGAGAATGTGCCACATACGCACACAACAGCGTTACTCTATAGTGAACATTGTTTGAATACATTTACTTTTATTTCTTCCCATCCTCTGTCTTTTGTTTCTTTCTTCCTCCATCCTTTGTTATCTTTCCTCTTTTTATTCCGATCTATTTTACCGTCTGTGTATTCTGTTAAAGTGTTACCGTGTTATGTCGACGCGCTCAGCTCAGTCGTTTACCTTCTATGGCAGAAGTGTTTCTTCCGTAATAAATTCCACGAACAACCATTCGGAAGAGACTTTCATGAATGGAAAATAATAAATAGTCGAATAGACTTTTATGCGTTGAATCACGTCCCCCTCTTCAGTTTCCGCATTAAACACTTTCTCTTTATTAGATTTTCACTCTGTATTCATGGAACCAGAAAATGCTTCCGATAAATACATCTTTCCCTTAAGTCTGGTTCTATTTTAGAAAGGTTTTACTAAATATTAATTTGTTTCTAAAAGTTCTGTTTTAAAATTGCATTAATAAAGTTAAATTTTAAAATTTCAAATTTGTTCTAAATACAAAACAGTCCAAATACGAATGCAATAAACTTTGTTAGTAAACAACTAAGCTAAATTTCTCGGTCAAGTGTGACGTACATTTTTAAATGTAAGCTTCTTTCTAGTTTATATTGCGGATAGACACACTAACTTCCTAAGAAAATTACGAAGAAGGAGTTATATCTTGTTCTTGATGACAAGAAACAATTTTGAAGCCTGCACGCACTTTATAAATTCAGTATTTGCGATTTTACATTTTACCTGATTAGCCTTGATGCTCATTTATTACCAGTATAAATTATGGTTGCAAAGCGGAGTATACTGCAGATACATAGCCAGAGATGATTTGCCCCAGTATTTCCTAAAATGTTATTTATGTCAAAAAATACCACAAATAAAAAAAATATTGATGAACTCTGAATTTTAGGTCACGTACTAATATTCTATCAACAAACAGTTAAAAAATTATTATATTGTACACAGCAACGTCCCAGAAAAAAAAAATTCGACTTTCATGCAATGCGATATATTATATTAATATGAACAACAAATCTGAGATTCTCATGGCGGCAAATACGAAGATGGCTTTCTTCTGAGCTGTTATAACGTTCAGTCTTGTAGAAGTTTACCGGCGTTTCAGAGATTATTGCTACCTCCATAATAAAAGCGACGTCTTCATCGCCCTAAACATTAAATATAATTCACAACTTTCAGTGCAGAACAATCAAAACCAAATTGTAATCGAAACCCTTTAATAGTATTGTGGCTAAATAACCAGGATCTCATTACTATACATTAATTTTATTTACTTCGTGCAAGAAATCCCTAAAAAAATTACCTGTGAGTTTAGGTTTTTATCAGGAGACCGTGTTTCATATCCCGACTCTAAAGGCCAGTTATTTCAATTATAATCTTCGAGGTTCTTATGGTACAGAATCACTGTATACGAATCACGCAGCAGGAGACTGTGTTATTCGCTGCTTTTGCTTATTGGTTGTCTGTGAATGACAAGACTATCCCAACATGCTTCTCCACTTCACAATAAAAGCGAACTGCAAAGCTCCTGACAACAATTTAAAAGCGTTCTCAAAACACAAAGCGCACCTGGCGAAAGATTTCCATGGAGTGTCACAGTCATTCGGGAATTCTCAGAGCAACAACCAACCAAGTCCACGCAACTTCTTTTTCAGTCGATGTTACAATCGGAGTCAAAGAAGAAAGTGAGTAAGAGCTCTCTTTCTGCACAAACACCAGTGCCGTGTGACTAATCTAACGTTATAAAATCTGTAACGAAAAATTTATTGCTCAAAATTTCCAATTACTTGCGATAAAAAAAATACAACATATAAAACTTCGGGCCTGAAGGTGTAACTGAAGGCATTTTAAAGATATGTGCCCAATGCACACAAAAAACGAGAAAAAGAGATACAATAGTCATCCTATCATAAATGCTCCTAATTTTCTAGCCCTTACTTTATTTGAGTATAGTTTCTTTAATAAAAAACAAGCGAAAGAGCGGGATGGAGCTTTAGCTAGCTAGTCATATACATAATATAACTTTAGTGTAAATTCATTATTTATTTAATGAACCCTAAAATGGGCTGGAATCAATAGGAATTTCGTTGGACTTAAGACTTTCTTAGCGAGCACAAAATGTTTAGTATCATACGTCTATGTTGAAATGCAAAAGAAACTGTGCTATGTGTCTTTTTCACATGGAGAATTTTTCCAACGGTAGAGGCGAGGCAGGCTAAGGTTGATTGAATGATTTTACTTCTTTTATCATATTCTCACACTTTTCCCATAGCCGTCAAGAACCATTGTTAAAAAATCGCGAGGACTTTGGCTTCAAGAGGATGACATGTGTAACAGGATTGAAGAGCGTTAAAGAATCGTGAGGACTTTGGTTTCAAGGGGATGACATGTGTAACAGGATTGAAGAGAATGTACTTCGCGTCGCAGAGACTCTGCTGGCGCAACTGCAACAGCTCTTCTGAGAACTCTCTTAGGATTTTCTTGGTCTGCAGTGCATAAATAAATAGCCCAAACTTCACACGACAGAAAATCCACGGAGTTGTACTCAGTACTTACAAAATATTTCTATGCCTTATGAATTATACAATGTCTTTTAAAATATGCACAGGGTTGAAAGCATCTGTAGGCTGAGTTTCACGATACATGTAAAACGCATGGAACAGCCGAGAAAAACATAAACAATTATAGGAGAGAAACCTGAAAGAAAGTGGACATTTAGATGTACTTGGTACAATAATATCAAACTGAATATAAAAGAAGGTTATAAGAGAGTGAACTGCAGTTGTCTGCTTTAGGTTAGAGACAAAGCGATGAATATACAAGTTCCATAAAAAGGTGGAGAATTTCTTAATCTGATGATACGTATTTTGGAGAAGAGAGGGCATGTGAAATGTGTGCAAAATTTTTCGCGGAAACACGACAAATTCTTGGAAGAAACCACTTAAAAGGCAAAGGATTAGGTGGGATGATAATACTAAAGTGGAACTATCAGAACCGCATAAACATCTGAACTAGAATAAATTACCTGAATGTCATGTTCAGTGCCGGGTTTTGCTGTTGGTTTCGGAAACTTAAGATTCTAGTTGAAAACAGATAATTTGTTATAAGAAAGTTATTACTAAGGACGTACACAATAGAAGAGCGACTCCATGGAAAGTAATTGAAATTGGAATAGATATTTGAAAAAGTGGATTAGGAATTGTTTGAAACGGCTTGGTTTAGGAAAGGCCTAAATCAGTAACGAATGCAAATGAGGACAGAAATTTATGGTTTATTATCATATACGCCTGTGTACAGGATAAGTCTTTTTGTTGTTCTTCCTTAATCCCTTCATGGCCCAGTCCAGATTTTTATATAAAAAAAGCATGTCAGTAGTGCTGAAAACCAAACAAAAATTAGAGTTTAAATAAATAAAATGTGTCGTAATTTTGGAAGAAATTCTTAACCAAATGTAGCGATAAATATAAACCTTATTTCTTCACAAAAATCCAGCAGAAGTTAGAAATAAATGCAACTTTCGCTAAGCTAAAGTAATTCTTATTGGAGAATATAATAACAACATGGCGACCGCGCGAAATTTATACTCGGCTATTAATGATATCAATAAGTAATAAACCGTGCAACAATTTGCATGGAACAAGATTCTATATGTTAACAATTATAGATAAGGCGTCACTGCAAAACAAAAATGACACGTATTAAGTTTAACCTAGAAGCAATATACACTACTTGGAACTGCGCACGTAAATGTACCAGTAAATGTTATAATTATTAATCGATAGTCTCATCGTGCATTGTATTTAAACTAAGTACACAAGTTATTTCCACAATTTCTCGATCGAGCTCTTCCGGGTCAGATAATCACAACTTACAACTTTCGTTCCTCAGCCTCAAATGTCAGAGGTTTCCTAGAACTTTAATTTATCTACACTGTAGTATAAAGTCCAGTCTAAGAGATGGAACAGGGAACTGCCAATTACGAATAATTGTCTTGATTTTATGCTGTAACCCAGTGTTTATGCACATGATTGTACCTAATTTGTTGCCTGTTCATTATTAGCAGAAGTCTCAAGAGGAATGCCTCTCTTCCTCATCAAGACGGAAAGTGGAGCACATGCTAAGTTCCCTTGTAATACGGCAGGGAATTAATATTATGATTGCGCTGAAACAAATAATGTTAGAGCCAGCGTTCACGGAGAAGGAAACCTCTTCAACTTGCTGCTTAATTACGTTCTTACTCCATTTTTAAGGAATCATTAATGACTGGTTATATATTTATAAGACTTAACACAGAACGCGGCTATTCAATACCAAACACTAAGTGATATCAGACTAGGGGTAAGAAATTACTTTTCTATGATCTGTGTCAATAAACACATTCATATTTGAAGCAATACGATAGCGTTCAATAATAAATGCGGATTACGGAAAAAAAACAACCAATCCAGTTCAATGGAGCATTGTTCTTCTTGAGAAGCTGATTGTCGTTTATCTAGCCAAGTAATTACGTGCCCTTTAAACAACTCGAACGTTCAGTTTCGTCAAAAGTTCCTATCCTGAGCTGGTGAATACAGTCTAAATACTAACACTCTATTTATGTAATACCCATTTTAATATTATCCTTCCGTTAATCTGTAAAATATTCTCGGGACATCAGCCATGTCAGATGTTTAAAACTTGCAGATGTTTCGAGGATACTTATCCTTCCGTATGGGAATAGGTTTTCAAAATCATCCGTTCTTTTCAGATTTCCCTTCCAACATTTTGTCAGTATCTCTTACCTGTTCAGTGAGTGCTACATTCATTGTCCATTTTGCGCCCCTCGGCAATGTTTCGTAAGGATTATAAAGTTTTAAGGTCTTTCTTATGCAGTTTTAAACGTGCACTTACAGAAACATGTGGTATCGTGTTGTCATCATGGCCGCCATCTGACGTGTTGAAGCGTGACCTGTGACGGCCACGATGCGACTCAGATGACTCTGATGACTGCGATGACTCTGACGATTCTGATGATCCATCACGCTTGGCAGCCATTACGGTGAGGCAAGGGTCAGTGATAAGAGCGACGAGGATCATCAGTGCAAAGAATGTTTTCACCGACAGCATTTTTAAGGCTTTTTGAGATTCTAGTGTTTTTAGTGGCTGAAAAGAGAAATGTTTACTCGAATCAAAGATCACTTTAGACTGTTTCCTTACTAAATATGTGCATATTTATTTACGCCTAAGTAATTTACTATCACACACCTTCATTTGGTTGTCCATAAACTGTATTGTTAATACAACTACAATAAAATATATGGACTACCAGTTATATGTATGGTTGAGGCAAATTATGAATTATCACGCTAAATTCTTTCGTTTTAGGAGAAACTTCTGTAATTAACAAAGACGTATTATGTAAAACTCAATATCATTCCCCTTTCTTTAATGAAATAAGACACAAAATCGAAGTTACAGGTAGTGCATTTTCAACAACAAGAATCATAACCAACAACTTATTATGATCTCTAGTGTAGAAAACCCGTTGAAATTCAACGACAAATAATTTATTTCGTATCCTGATTCCTTACCTTCCTTTATCCTTTGTCCCTGTCCTGTCTTTACGTCCTTACTTCTTCTTCCCGTATTAATTTCCAATTTATTTCATACATCCGCCCAGTCGTCATTCCCATTTAGATTTGAAACCTCTCGTTACAGGACAACGACAATGAATCTTTTCAGCCGTGATATTAGCTGCGTTATTTTAACTTTTTTCCCCCTGAGCTACGATTAATTTGCTTAAATATTATATGCATTATACATATACGTGATCTCGTCCACGACTTCTTAAGTAACATAAAAAAAGTTGCATTGAATCGCATTGCTAGTACTTACAGATAGGATATCAGACAGCAGAATGACGTGACCTGGGGAACATGAGTTCTTATATACTACCAATCCGACCTAAATGTATTCGTCACAAAATTATTACACTGTAAACATAACCTATTGGTGTAATTAATTTTCATTAACGTTAAACTAAATTAATTAACTTCTCAATTCCATATAAGGGCTCTCTGAATTTATTGATTATAATTTTTACTAACTGCTCTTGCTACACCCAGATAAAAATATCAACGTCTGAATTCATTGATTATAATTTTTACTAACTGCACTTGCTACACCCAGATAAAAATATCAACAAACATTCATACTCACTAGTATTTCGAAGACAAATGCTGACGCGCAAATGAGAATGAAATGAGCCTGTAAAAATTTTATTATCAAGAAATGACAAATGTTTGTACTGCGGTTGGAACGACGAAGATATTTTACAGCTATAAGTAATCGGCATATAGGGAAAAAAGTACTTGAGAGAAAAAAAGTTTACTTATCTGTGGAAAGATCCAAATTACGAGAAACAAAAACAAAAAAAAGTCGAAGACTATTTTATGAGGTTCCAGTTGCTGTAAATTATTTTAAAAATTCACCACAGAATGTTTTATACTTTGAGAATGGTGAATTTTAAAGATAAGTTTTGCAGTGCAGTAGTGATGTCACGTGACAGCAAAGCATCTGGATATAGCATGATCGAAAGAAACCAAAATTCAACACAATGTATACTCATGTGGTTTACAAAGTATAGTTAAACAACCAAAGAATCAATCAAGAGACAATTTACTAAAGTTCTAGCTTGATAATATTTACCCTCAGCCTAAGTTATTAAAGCTATTAAGTATATATTAAATCTTGTCCGTCTAATCAAAATAATTCTTATTAAATATTAAAATATTACAATAATTAACATTTCA